ATATATATATATATACATATATATATATACATATACATATATATATATATACATAATATCACCACTCATAATATCAGCAGGACCAAACCATATGTGAAAGGTGAAAGGGATAACATGAAACAGGGTCACCGCACCCTGGACTGATTCTTGTTATGTCCCTGTGGGGGACACATCAGCGAACATGACCGTTTACACTACACCCATATGTGACCACAGACAGAGGCCTCAACCAAGTGTAAGCAGAGTCTCAGGGAAAAGGATTTGGCTTATTGTATAGCATCATAAAGCTCGCTGTAAAGTAAAAGCTAGTACTGCAGAGCAGCTATACTTCCAGCAACACTACACGTTCAGAACAATTTCTGCTGGGAACTTTCACATTTTTCAACAAAAGAGCCTTCAGCTGTACAAATGTTTCAACTTCACTGTGTCTTCACTGGCAGTTTTTATTAACGAGTGCACTTTAGTCCCTCCTGTCCTTTGAAAGTTTGTTGTCCGCAAGCTGAGAAGTACCTGATTCCGCTGCGTTTTGCTGGAAGCTGCATGCTGAACCCCGTTTCATATTTTTAGTTCATGCTGACTTACAGGTATGACACACATTCCTTGAACCAAGGTAGAAATTGGTTATATTCCTATTTTGTGTGCGTGTGTGTATGTGCAGAATTAGTGGCACAACACAGCCATTTGCACTGTTAGCAGGTGCCTGTAGGCTTCTTTCAGCTGCTCCCTTACTTATGAGCAGTTGCCACAGATTTGGCAGGCAACGCTCTGAGGTATTTGTACCTCTTCCTGAACTCAAACCGTGGATACCGCACATGTTAGGCAAATGTGTGAAACGCAATACTGTGGAATCACTCATATCTATGACTGCTCTAACTGGAAAAAGGAGGATAATCAGAAAAGGTGACTGAGGGAAGTGACAATAATGGGGATAATGGCTTTTAAAAAACGAGCAAACAAACAAAAAATTACATATTGGATCCTTAATGGTATCAAGGCATTTATGTACCAAATTGAATGCTCTGTCTTTAATCAGTGTTCTGTAACCGTAACTATTAAAGTTACCCGGTGAAGTGGATATATTACAAGAAGAGAGCATTGATGCCTTTAAGTCATGATTTAATTACCTCTTTAGAGAAGCATGGCTTCCTTGACCTTGAATTACCATTTAGCCTTCCTATTCAGGCATGCTTGTTGGCTCTATAACTGTGTTTATTAGCATGCATGCTATGACTGGGCTTGGTGCGTGTGTTTATGATTGAACGTGAATGCAGATCCCTATCTGATGAGGTGAAACACAAACCCTGAGGAGTTTTGGGGAGGTAATACATCCAGCACAGTCACATTTACAAGAAAAAAAAAAAGTCACATATACGTGAAGATATTCACCTGGAGTTTACAGACAGAGGAATTAATCATAATGAGCTGTTTTATGTTGAGGCGTGCAGGAGCAAACCTGCCCTTGCTTGCTACGCATGAATAATGCCGACGTTGATAAAGGAACACCTTGATCATGTTTAAGGCAGAATCTACAACCATTTATCTATTTTATTCTGCTTATCCAAATTCAGGGTCATGGGCAGGCAACTGTTAGGGGACCTAGACCGCTGAGAGCTGACAAGCTTGCAGTATGAAATGTCACTAGGATTGACCTGACCTCCCTAAGTGGGCTCCACCTGACTCCACTCACTTATGTATGCATGATTCTGTTTAAACAAACTGAAAAACCACAGAGAAAAAATAAGGAAAGAAAAGAAAAAAGAAAGAGGAGAAAAGCAAGTTAGAGGTGAGCGGAGCAGACAACCACCATTAAATAAAATGCTAAATAACTAAGCGCGGCTAGCCTAGCCTTAACTGTGGAGGGCAGGCAGTTGAATGACTTCCACTATCATCATGTTATTTCTTTTTTTAGTTAGATCTTTGGCTAATTTGGCTAGCAGAGTAGCCTAGCATGTTATTTTTGTTGTTGTTGTTGGTGTTAGATTATTACACTGGTTGTATGGGCCCCATTTGGGAGGAAACTGGAGAGAACCCATGCCAACACTGGGAGAACATGCAAACTTCACTCAGGAAGACCCCAGTCTTGCTGTGAGGTGACTGTCCTAACCACCACAGAACCACGAGCATGCCTATCTAGAGCCTCAGTGGCCTATTCTCTATCTCTTACCTCTCTGTGTCCAAAGTCATTAAGTATGGTGGCTAGTTTCTTCGTGCTGGCATACTGACGCTGGGCAACAACGGCCGGGCTGGGATCCCTCCAATCTACAGAAAGACGATGGAGCCACATTTCAGCTTGTTGCAGGTGAGGCTGCTTAAGGCTGGGATCAAAACAGTGGACTTCACAGCCTGATTGGGCGAGAGAATTTTCCAGGGACCGGTCGTCCACTCCTAACCTAGAAAACACACAAAAATACAGACAGGGTGAATATGTGAGAGTCAGCTCCATTTACAGGAATGCATATTTCATCGTCTTGATTTCATTTGTGTGAAATGTTCCAATGACGAGATGAAGAGATTCTTCACGGGACACATGAAAACTAGGTGGTACGAGTGGCCCAAATTATGATATTTTGACAAAGTTATATGGCAACTAGCTATTTCATTTCATACAATCTCACCCCTTGTGCACATTTTTAAGGAAGTCAAAGTGTGGTACAGGTACAGACAGTCAGGTAGGAAAACACAGGTATTAAAAAGTTTCTAAAAATAGCCATCGTTAGAGAAGGATGTTTGCATGAATGCAGCTGTATAACTTCAATGCGTGTTTATTTCATGCAGGGTTGGATTTCATTAGAAATTGGTTGCCAACTATAAAACCATCGTCTTTATTGTTGCTCCATCATTTGATAGGGCCAAGTGCTTATGAGAACAACGCAGGATGAAGCCCTTCTGTTGTATTCCAGTGATGTAAAACTTTAAAAATGTGCTCTGAGGCGCCACTAAAGAGAAAACATTTGATCAAAGACTCAAAGATCTGTTTTGTGACATGAAACAACACCTTAGCCGGTCGTTACACATGTCAAATGCAACAGAGCGAGTAAAACTGATAAAAGGATACAGACAAGATAACACCACGGCGTCACTGTGATCTTACTTGGCCTCCGAGCCAGAAAAGAATCAATAATTCAAACAAAGGGAATAAAGATTTTAGCCAGGAGATACTTGACGCTTGTGTTTCTCTCTTATGTCTCCTTTGTTTCATGTTTCTCTCCTTTGCTCTCCACCTCCACATCTCTTTTCCTACAAGTGGCCCGCTTCTCTATTTTAAAATGTGTAAATCTAAGCAGACAGACACGTTCCCTCGTGTCTCTGTCTCTTTCATGCCTTCTCTCCCTTCTCCCCGCACTTTTTCGCTAACCTCTCTCGCTGCTGTTCACTGTTTATTCCACCCCTCCCTTCTCTAATTCCACAATTTTCTCCTTTTCTTCCTGTCACTGTCTCTGCATCTGCATTCCCCTGTGTCTTGTTTGCGCGGCGGCTGTATTCTGTAATCGTGGCAAAGGGAGTAGATTTCACAGTACGCGTCTTTTACAGATGAGGCACCGGGTCCCCAAATGCATCCCGCTGGTGGGAAGATGAGAAATGAGCATATGTGAGGGATTGAGATGCAACTAGATGTCTCTTTTTAAAGCACTAAATATTTCATTGAGAGAGTTTTTCATTTTCTGGTGAGGTTTTGTTGAGCGGCTGAGAATCAGTGCAGCGATACTACGGGGATCGGGGATTACTCATGGGGCGGCGGGAGCAAAAGGGGGGAGTCACAGTGCATCACATGCCCTTCAGAATAACAATGCTCATAAAGGAGGGTTTCTACTAGGTCTCTCATGAGAGCAGGAGGGGTAACATGATGGATGAATGGCTACATAAATTTGTGTGCTCGAGAAAGAAATTTACTTCATACACATTCTTTATAGAGGCTGTAAGGAGACTGCTGTTGATATAACCAGATGTGAAGATCCGTGAGTGTTTAGATTCTTGGTCACAAACTCCCAGAGGATTGTAAATGTAATAAAGAGCTATGAATCCACCTGACCCGTTATGTCAGCAGCCTGTCTGGGTGTGGTGAAGTCTGGAGGTGGGGCTGATTAAAAAACCCTTGGTGGGTCGAGAAACTGTCCCAGTTTGTGCCATTTTTTTTCTCATTCTGGCCTCTGTCACTGTCTGTCTCTGACTTTAAATTTCACACTTGGACAAGATACAAGGGAATTGGTGGCAAAAAACCATAACCACTGGCTTTGCCTCAGGCACAGGTATAGCAGTTCGACACCTGGCTCCACTATCCTCGGACAAGATACTGAACCCCGAGTTACTTGTGACATATTCATCAGGGTCTGATTGTTATATTGATTTCACTTAGGCAAAGAAACAAGATGGATGTGTATTGTTTCTTTGAGGGCCCACATAGAGAAGAAAGGGGCTGTATACCAGTCAATTTAGAGTTACTAGGAAACCTAAAGGCCAAACTGAAAATATAATCAAGAAGATAACGACATGAAAATAGTAAAACTACAAAGCGTCATAAACACAGGAATCCTAATGGACTAGAAATAAAGCAATAAGAGGAATAAAACCCATTGCAGTCCAAATACTAATAGAAAAACTCAGAGCTAAGGAACAAAACCCAATTTTATGACAATATTTGTCTCCAAAGGACATGAATAAACATGTCCTTTAAATGTGAAAAGGTTTTTTGGTTTGTTTGTTTGGGGTTTTTTTCACCCTCATGCCTGTGTTGATGCTCTAACGTTGTGTCATTCATTCTACAGGTAACTTGTCAAGTTTAGACCAGTTTCATAGAACAGAAATCTTTTCTGCCCTTCATGTGCAAATCCAACATGACTTCACAGTTCTGTCTCCTTGAATGTTGCTTAAGACTAAAAATGAGACAGTATGATCTGAGCAAACGTTTTCAATATTATCTGTGAACTTAAAAAAGAAGTTTTACCTGCGAAATAGAAAATGTGGAGGTGTAGTCAACGACATATTTTAACGACAAACTTTTCAGCATCTCGCAGGAAAATGACAGGTGTAAATAATTAAATTAACACTGCTGTCGCTGCTTCAATTTCAAGGTTATGGTTATGGTTTCAGGCTCACTGTCACACTAATGGATTACTGATCGCTGATGTCATTAAAAACATTAAAAACCCAAAACTTACAGTGTGTCCAGTGGTCACTTGACTAATGTTTAAATGCCCAACTTTACAGCAGAAACCATCTTAATCAGAAGTAAACATCTTGACAGCCTCATTAAAAAAAAGGTCCTTACAGGCTAATTTAACCATTTTTCACAACACTGTTCATATTAAGCTTGTTTTCTTTTTTTAACTTAGATTATTATCAGGTGATTGTGACTGATGGGTTGCTGCCAACACAGGAAGAAATGTCTAATAGACGTCTGCAAATACACTGATCTGTAAATCTCAATTAGCCTTTTTTTAATAAGCCTGTGCTACAGTTTTGATGAGTGAAATAAGAGTATATGTGTTGTGTATATATTTAGCACTGAATTTCTTAGCACTGTCTCTTAGAACCCTGTCAGGTTGCCAGTCTGTTGCAGGGCTTGGCTTCACATCTATCTTCATCCATCTTCTATATAAAACCTATGGTTATTAACTGGTTGTGGGGGGTTTGTTACATTTATTTAGTTCATACTAAAGCCATCACTCAAAGAATAATGCTTGGTTAACTTCCTAAAAATCACTAAACAGCATTTATTCTGGGAAGAACAATAGGTAAAGGTGATGAGATGGCTGATTATCATATTTTCTTAATTTTGCCCAGAAGGGGAGCCAAAGGAAACAAAGCATGAGAAGGCAGAGCCACCGTTGCTACTAGCTATACTGCAGGTATTAATGCTGTTATCCACTAGCAGCATCTCACATGCCCACATTTATGTTAAAAGTCAAGTCGCTTTATTTATGTAGCGTATTAAAAATGCTGGACCTCAATATTCGATCTCAAGTTCTTTCCACCGGAGGCAGATGGACTAATTGTACAAATACTGAAGAATACACGGAAGACAAGGAATACAAGTTTAAACAAAGCCTGCTTTAATTTGAGCAGAATGTGGGCTGTTTTTACAGCAGTGGAAAAGGTGGATAATTGGTCTTTCATGTGGAAAAACATCCTGCGTCCCCCCCTATACACCAGCATGTGACAGACCAATCAGTGAACAGCTGCTCATCCTGCCCAGGCACAGCCATCCCCGGCTCGTTGCACATCATGCAAATGGGATGTATCAGCTGCACACGTTCAGCAAAACACACGAAAGTGTACCTACATAATGTGCTGAGTTCAAAGGCGCATACAGAGGCGCACTAAAAGCATTTGGCTTTTCTATTAAATCCCTTTTAATCTTCTGCAGTTGACTACAGTTGAGGGCTTTGCAAGTCAGAGAAACTCTCCTGAGAGTAGGATGCTCGACAACAACACCTGGCAAAGAGGCAAGAGTATGACCAAGAAGTGTGTGTGAGAGCATGTGTATGTGTATGCACGCGTGTGTGTGTGTGTGTGTGTGTGTGTGTGTGTAATGAATGTAGGTCAGATAGGGGACATGGGGAGGAACTTCAGAGAGCAGTTTGCACACTGACTTCATTAACTCTCTCCGTGAGATTCTAGGAAATTTCTTTTGTTACTCGGGAAGTTTCTTCTTCTTTTTTTTAAGAATTTAATTTTTTTTTGGGACTCGCTTTTACTGCATTCGACAGAGTTGAGTTGACGTAGTGTATACTGAATTAATTCCAGAGGTATTAAGTGATCAGTTACATAGGAAGAGATCGCCAAGTAGCTTTCATTGATTTGAAAAATTAGATCTGAGTCACATTTTCCAAGCCAAATATCAAAATGTTTGCATCAATCTCTGAGATGTTTGATAAAACTCATTTCAATTTTAGTGCGTGTCCATGTAGCTTGTCTGCACAGAGTGCCGTTGCAGTCAGCCAGAGGATATCAGATATGTTTTTTTCTCCTGTCTATTTGGCCTCTGACACCCTTTTGACCTCCCCGCCCCTCCTGCCACTCTCCCACACCTATCTGCGCCTCGCTTGCCTTGATGCCAGCACACCTGTGCTGTCTCTCAACGGTCAAACTAATAAGCCTTCTCTCCCAGCAGAAAAATCCCTTCAACCATTGCTGCACCTCAGCATTGGCCGAGCAGACTTAGACTGAGCCCAGCCATGGCACAAAGCCGGGTAGGAGTGAATGACAGCCTGGGCTTAAGAAGGTCAAACGCCTTGGTGGTCTGGCTGACTGAAGTCAGGGTTACATGCCAATTCAGTTGAAGGAACCAAAGGTGGAATAGTTATGACGTTAGAAGTTTAACAAAAGACAACAAATTAAAGGAAAATGTGCAGAGTGAAAATGTAACTGCATGAAGACAAAAGCAATGTAAGAAGAAAGACATAAAGACAAAATAAAATCATACTCAGTGTACAATTAGTCGCCGAGGACATGAAAAGATGAGGCTAACAAGGAAGATGGAGAAAGACATGCACTTCATTTATTGTGTGTGAAAATAGACATTGAATATATTTTTATGATACAGAATAAACTTTAATTTACTATAAAGTTTACTGACAGCTGTGGCAATTTTGATTACCAGCAGATATCTCACAGCCTGTCTCAGAACCAGATGTTCTGAATAATTGTGTCATCTGCAGATAATTCAGTCACTGTTTATTTCCGTGTAAGCGACTACAGTTGACTCCATTCCCTATATTTTGGACAATTCCTTGTTAAGGGAACACACATTTAGCAAAAACAAAATTATGTGTGAGTGTCTAACAAACAATACTCACCCAAAAGAGTACACCCTGCAGTGTCTGCTCTCTATCCTGTGGATCAGTTTATAATCGGGATCCAGGCACACAGCCCATGCCCCAGTGGACCCTTCCTGGTCTGCTTTCTTGCCTCGAAGTGACGCACATGACACCTGGACAAACATAAATGTAAACACAAAGCAAGACATATTAACAGCCATTTTTCCAGGTACAAGGAGCAGAACTTATTGTCAAGACAGCCATGTTATCTGACACAGTAGGAGTCCTGTATTGCAAATATAAACGGAACAAGAAATGAATGACAGAGCAACAGAAGCACACCGACTCAGTTCGCAAAGCAAAAATAAGTGTCTGTGTCTGTATGCTGGACATTCAAGACCACCTGCGCTGTTTGGATATTGATGTCCAAGTCTGTTCACTGCACTGGTCAGTGAATGTGAAAGTGAAGTAGTCGTTAACTGGGCAGGGGGTTGTGGTGAGAGAAATCTTCTGAGAAGCGAGCATTTCATGTGTAAGAGCGCATTACTCTTCGACAGCATTACTCCAACCAAACGAGTGAGTTTTCATTCTGTACAATAAATGGAGTCCTAGGGATTTCAAGCAAACACAAGTCAAATGTGGCAGCATAGTTGACACTCTGATATATCCTGATTTCCTTAGGTGAGTTCTACAACTCAGACTCAGCTGGTGCTGATGCACTGCCAAATGTCACTGGGTTGGCAGAAAGAAACTAGAAAAGAGGACTTTAAATCCTTCATTTATGATTAAGATTGTACCCCCCCATTTAATTCACAAAATTCGTTGGATTTAAAGCACAATATCCTTTTAGCTGCTTCCATATAAAAGTCTAATCTTTGGATCCTGCCATATCTTTAACAAAAATATTTTTTCAGTACTTTTCAATAACAGTGTATTGTTCTAAAATGTTGTGGATTCTATTTTTCAACCTTAAAAATACAGCTTTCATAATCAACTTCAACCAAGAATCCAAGGACCAACATTTGCAAAAATGCTGTATACACACCTGCATATACATGTCAGTACAGAGCAGGAGCTACTGCTCAAATGTTTGCTGTGTGGTTTCTCCACATTCTGTCTGATGCCGAGATTAACTTTGCAAGGGAAGAAACAATATTGGCTCAGACATCATGACCGTGAGCACAAATGTCTGGCTTTACTGTACACCATTCAAGTCCGTAGTAGCATGTTCGCAGCTACACTTTGTTTGTGCTAGTGCATCTTAGGCCACAGTCATACAGGGCTAGAGAGTTGCTAGGTAAAATCATTTGCAATGACGTATACAGTGGTGCACTGAAAACCTCTATGCAGTTGCTTTGGTTGCCAGCAGATTGCCACTCTTACATAAATATGCTGATTTGTCTGCAAACTACCCTCTCCATGGCAGTGAAACTGTGTGCAGAGAGAACATTTTGTGAAGAGAATATTTGCCTTCAAAAGTGAAAGTTGCGCCCTTTTAAACGTCTTAGTTGCAGCAGCAAGGGGCAACTCTTAATTTGAAAGCAAAGCAAGCATTTCCGGTTTGCGTCACTTTTGGCTACCGCTTATTGAGTGGTTGGCAGACAAGTTAGCATTTTCTACGCAAACTACAGGTGACTTCAGCAATTTGCTAGCAAACAAAGCCACAATGAGGTTTTTAGCATCCTCTTTGCGACTAATTTCACCCACCAACAGCCAGCAACCACTCACCATCTAGTCGGGGAGTGCATATTTTTTCCTAGTGATCAGAAGTGATTTCTCACCAGTCTTTAAAAAAGCCAAAATCTCCTTGAGCAAGAGACCAAAGCTTATATTATTCCCAATAAAAGGCATCCACCTTGCACAGCAGCTTCCACAAACTTCTAGTCTAAAAAGAGAGTCCAATGTGAAAGTATGCTGATTACCATTACATATCCTTTGGCTGCAAAATGAAATCTGAGTGTTTCGAACTCTGTATTGAAATGAGCTTTTATCTCCCCTGATTGATAAAAATCAAATTGCTTTTGCAGCTTTCTTTATTTCCTAATCAATCTCCCATTTGCTATAATGTCTGCTTTCCAAACACAACACATTTAAAACACACAGCCTAAATTTTCAAAATGGCACTTTGATAACTAGTAGGTGACGGCTATATCCATCTTTCATTTACATTTAATGGTGAATGAGAAATACTTTCTAGATCCTAACTCAGGTAAAAAGACACTGATGGCAGACGTTCTGCAGCCAAGTGAATGTGTAAGAAGAAATGTACTATGTCCCAGCCTCTTATAAATCCACTTACTGTTCCTAAAATAGAAGAAATTTACATTTGAAACTGTTCATTAGCCGTGTTTACATTGCCAGCCTTCCCTTTTTTGGCAAGCTGGATTTGTACGGTTTCAAAAGAACCTCTTAGGCGTAATTTCTTACTGTGGCTTTTGTATAAATCGCCCATTTTAATGAGATCATTCTGTGACAGGTCACGCAGGAAGGAACCAACTGAATCATTGAAGTGCAGTGTCACCATCTCACAAAGGACAAAAGTGGCCCGATGTGTCTTTGTTGCTCTCTATTTAAACCAATTCTTACATGTTGAAGATTCTCCACAATGTACGTCATCGCTAATGCGTTCGAGTTGAAAGCGTTTATCTGCATACAATGCACTGTGGGAAAATTAAATGCAAAATCACTCTTGATTAGTTTGCCACTTCACATCTAAAGACATATCAGTTGCATTGAGCTGCTGAGAGCTGAACAATGCTACAAAGAATACTGAGCTGTAAAACCAAGAACATTCACTGAGCGTGAATGAGAAGTTCATTCCTATTGTTGATAAGCTAATCAGAAATTGATCCCACGCTCCTGCTGCCTTATTATTTCACACTATTATTAGTAGTATTATTAATATTTTTATATAGACTTACTCCTATCTGTGCATGAACACGTGAAAGCTGCTTACTGGTATTGATTGTACAGTTGTGTCGCAGGCCATCTCTCTTAGTAACAGTTCCACCAGGCACTATGTCAGTCAGCATTACAGCAGAGGATGCTGCTATCCCCACACCAGCTCCCTCCACCCTCGCCTGTCACTGTCAATGACAGACAGTTCCCTTCCACAGCTCCTCACAAACACACACTTGTACACACATGCTCACGAGATCTCTTTCTCTCTGTTCCTGTCCTTGTCCCTTCCTTCCTCATCCACAAAAATCCAGAAGTGCCTAAACACACGCACATCCCAGCACTAATTCATTATGAACTAAATTTCTGCTTTGTGAAAGACAGACTGAGTGATGCTTAGTCATTTGGAGATTGGTACTCTGTGTTCTGGCTATGTTGTGTGAGGGATAAAGATAAGATGTTGATTTGTCTCCAAGCCAATTTACTGCAATAGAAAAACACACACACACGCATACACACACACGCACACACACGCACACACAAACTACACGAGTTCAAAGAATGCCAGTTTCTGTTTTGGAAAACGAAAATGAAATCATGTCTTTGAATTACCTCCATCGTAGAGGCAAAGATTTCCCAACCTTCCAACCAGAATTCCAACCTTTCTCAGTTCCTTTTTATATTTTTCCTTTTTTTCCTTCTTCTTCTTATTATGATGCAAAACATCTTCATTGATTTGTAGTAATTAATACTGATACAGTCCAAGGAGCAAACCACAACAACTCATTGATTAGATCTGAATAGATGGGCTGTGAGCTCCATCTGTATAGTAATCAATAGAGTAATGAATTAGTTGCTTACTGTCAGGGCAAGAAAAATGTTTTGGCTATGCTGAATGTGAAAGAGATGCCAGTGCAGCTCAATCATGGGCTAAGAGATGAGTCCTGTTTTTTTTTAAAAAGCAGCCAAAGGTATGTGTCTCATGGCTTAACTACTTTATTTATTTTTGCCTCAAACTCTAGTCTTAGATTTGCATTCAGTGTCAGGTTAATTTTTGCTTTGAGGACAGAAAATGTGATTAAAAGTTAAAGATGATTAATCTCCCAATCGATGGTGCTTGCACTGCATCATTAAGCACAGCCAATATCGCAAATAAGAAATAAATAGTAAATATAAAGTACACTATGTCACAGTAATGATTGAACAGGGCTTTAATACTGGACATCAGGAAGGTGTAGGCAAGCTATAAAGCATCAGAAGTAAAAGTACTTATTCTCGATTTAAATATTTCCCTTAAGAGTTAAACGATCAATATGCATCATAGTCTATTAAAAATCACATGTTTGCATTGTGGCTGACCTGTGATGACCAGATATCTAAAAATAATATTAAAAATGCTTTTAATGAGCTCAGAAAACAGACCTAGACCTCAATTAAAAAAATTATATTAGAAGATATTCATAAAAACAAAAAGAACCAACAGGGGGTCGATCAGGTTATCTACTAATCAGAAGGTTGGTGGTTTGATCCCTGGCTGCTCCAGTACGCATGCCAAATATCCCCGGGCAAGATACTAACCCCAAGTTGCTCTCCAATGCATCCATCAGTGTATGCATGTGTGTGAACGTTAAATAAAAAGCACTTGTATAGAAACAGCAAAGAAAAAAGTGCTTGTGAGAATGAGTGTGAATGGTGTATAAAGTGCTTTGAGCGCTCAGCTAGAGTAGTAAAGCACTATATAAGAACCAGTCCATTTACACTTAATCTGTCAGTGGTTTTAATGTTGGCATTTTAAATGAATAATAATCAAAAATACATTTAGGTAGCAAATGAAATTTAAAAAGAAAATCTCACTTGCTGAGTTGTGATGTAGCTGAGGAACCTTTTAGCTTCATCCTCCAGTGACTGACTCTCACTGGCCCAGGGCTCCAGGTCTATATGCCACCGTGGTGTCTGAATAGGGGAACATACATGAACAGTTACAATGGAAATAATATGAAAATGAGCAACTCACTAACATCAAAGTAGGCCACTCACAAGAAATCCAGTGCAAGGACAACAATAAAGGGAGCTTTATTCTTTCAGGTATTATAACCCTCTTGTGTATAGCCACTGATAGAACTAGGTCACAGTGTGCTCTGAGGAAAATTTCCCCCACACACGTGTTAGCGACAAACTGCTAAAGTTCATTTCTGTTGTTATTTTAGTCAAATGGGCACTGCTAGCCTATTTACTCACATGTATGCTTTGCTGGAAGGTATGGATTGAGCTTTGTTTGAAAGTGGAAGAATAAGATCTTAGACCCCTTCATCAGGGGGCTTTAGCAGCTTTAGCTCTGTGCTGCATTCCTGAAACGTGGCAGAACCTTGCTTTAAAGCCTGCTTCCATGCTACAGGAATGTGCCTGTTTGTGATTAGAGGAGGGATGAGGAGTAGGCAGTACAGAGGGCGACAGAGACGGCACTGTGATGATGTATTCGTTGCTTGTACAATCATTTCTTGGGTCAAACACCACAGCCAAGTGTTCATTAGCAGTCCTGGAATAAATTATCTGCTGTGGTTTGATGAGAGCGCACGTCCCTGCCTAGGGCGCTCCTGTGTATGGGAACTGCAGTTTATTTCATAATTTCCCATAGCTGTGCAAATTAGATTAAGCTGTCTTTACTGAGAAAATCGTGTTTAGGTTTGTTGCTGTGGACACGTGTGGCATGGTTCTCTCATGGTTAACGTGGGCTCAACACAGAGGATTATAACTAAGACATTTGACACTTTCACTAACTGATCCTTCTTTTAATCTTCATTGCACATGTACACACACTAGACCTTATACATATATTTAAAAAATATATACTTGGGTCTATACAGTGCACACTTTGCTTGACTTTTTACGGGTCTGTACGTAACCCCACACCACTCTGCTAATATGTTATCTGACAACACCATATGTGTTATTTTCTTCTCCACTGAGGCAGATCCTGGGCCTGCCAACACACAAAAAATCTGCTTTTGCTTTAATGGCTGCAGAGTTTGATCCACACGACACTATTCAGTGTTTGGCATTCAGCCTTCAATCGATTTACAGAGTGTCAAAACATCCGAATGCTTGCCTTGCCTCAACCCATCCGTTCTTTTCTCTGCTTCCTTTTATATCATGGGTTCTGTTTTCTTTTGTCTTTCTCGGTCTTCTAATATCCCGTTGCTCTTTTCATTGACTGTTTTTTCTTTCTTCTAACATCCTGCGTCTCCATTGATTGTTTACTTCTGCTTTCTGCTGGTCTCTATCACTGACCTCAGCTTAGTTAAAAAGGCACTCAGGACCCACAGACACTCACCGGCCACTTTGTTAAGGCCAGAGGTCAGAGGTGAATAGCTAGACTCCTTCGAGCTGATAAGAAAGTAGTAGTGACCACTCGTTACAAACAGTGCACATGACATCAAACCTTGAAGGCGACTGGCTACTGTAGCAGAAGACCACCCTGGGTCACACTTCTATCAGCTAAGAACAGGAAGCTACGGCTAAAGTTTGCGTTGCCTTTCCAAAATTGCACAAAAAAAGATTAGAAAAATGCTGCCTGGACGAGTCTCAATATCTGATGCAATATTTGGATCAGAAATTGGTGTAAACATCATGAAAGCATGAATCCATCCGCATTTGTATTAAAGGTTCAGGCTGGTGATGTGTGTGTGTAATGGCTCATTAGTACAAGTTAAGCATTTATGAAATGCCACATCCTACATCCTGAGTATTAATGCTGAACATGTCCATCTCTAATACATGTTTATATAAAGAAAAATGCGATAACAGACACTGAAAACAGAACAGGTTTTGTTTTTAAAATCTGTATGTGTATCTCAAGCACAAAAGAGATCATTATCTGACAAATATGCTTGCGCATTATGAGATAATTTGAGTGCTATAGTGGCAGCTATGAGTGATGGGTTGAAGATTCGAAGAGTCAAGGTAAATAGTCATATTGGCATTAAACCCATGGTAAAGCATATGTCTGAAGTGTCTTGAACATAAACTAGTTAATTGGTATAGTCATATGATATTTACTTCTGGACAAAACATCTCCAGTGGAAATATGCAGCTTATCAACAAAAAGAGCTCAATTCAATAAATTTAAAGCTATTTAAGCATAAACCATCATCATTACTGTACAGCAGGGCTGCACAGATTTTGTGTTTATTTAATATAAGATGCTATGAGTGTTAACAATCATTGGGCTGTCTGTCTTTTGATTTTTAACTCGTGGAGTATTTGTTGTTTAGATTCCAACATATAATTTTAACTCGGGCCATAAAAAAAAATCTCTCTGGCAAAGCCCCCAGTCTGACAAACAGCCCCTGACAAAAAGAAGAAAATAAAATGCCACTTCTAATCAACATTGTTCCTAAACTGCAGTATTGAAGCCAGGAGGGTTTTACAGAGACAGAAAGACCGCATTTGAAGTACATTTACACGTGTACAAATAACATCTACCTTTCTGCATCCCGGGGACTCCCAGAGCTCTCTGTCTGTGAGCTGCCCTTTTCATCTCCTTACCCGGTCCTCCCTGAACAACTCAGCTGTCAGGCCCCATACATCACCCTGGTACAGGTTGGGACTGGGGTACTGATCAGAGGGCAGATATCTGGGACAATGAACTCTCTGGGAGGTTGCAGTATGTGCTGTAAGCTGCGGTTGAATAGAAATGGAAGAGGAAAAGGACAATGGGAGGTTCCAAAGTGCTCACACAAGCACGAGTGATCCAGCACTTTACAGCAGAGAAGAAATTGAAATATTTGGAAGCATTTGCCAAGGGAGGAGGTGTCTGTCAAAGATTTTATGGCTACTTTGAGACTTTATGGCAGTGCTGGACTGGAATTGCCAGCCTGACTTGTACAGTGCAAGTTTAAATCTAGTGTGTTAAAATGAAGTTAAAATGATTTTTGCCTTAATGGGAAATTAAAATAAATTCAATCTTTAAGCAACAAGCTTAAAGTGCAAAATAGAGACTATGGGTTTGTGCAGGTTCTACACTGTGCATACCGATCAGGATTTTTTTTCCAACTGGTGATTATTGCTGAGCAGTGATGCGATTAGTGCTAAACTATGTGTTCAGTCAAGCAACAACAAGTCATCAGCACCTAAGGTAGACAGAGAGAACATCACTCATCAGCTGTGCAGCCTTAGTCCTGTGAAATTAGACATAATTCTGTCCTCAGCAAGAGATTTTAAGGTTGTTGCCTTTACATAGATGACATGGTCAGTGGAAATGAATATAATAGGGGGTTCGTTAATCTGCAAAAAAATGTACATGAAACATTATAACAAGAAAAGCACGTCTATTGAGGAAAGCAGCAGCCGAAATACAATTACAGCGTCGGATTAAGTGTGTGAACTGAGTGAGGTTGAAGCATCAGGTGAATTGGAAGTGCTGAAAACACTTAAAGATTCAGTTTTACCCTCGAGCACTGAAACGAGTGGAAATGTCCGCGTAAGTGTAAGTGATGAATTAAGGTTGAAGGGTGAGTTAGAGTGGAGGAGCTGAGAGAAATTAGTGTCAGTTCAAGTGTGTCAGCCAAACTTTGTCAGTGGAATGACAACAGGAACTGTAAAGCTTTCCAGAGGCTTGCTGCGGAAAGTCTGAATTTAATGAAAAAAAAAAGATTTTACACAAAATATTTCAAAGTATGTGGCAGCTGAAATTAAAATCAAGAAGCATTTAAGACATTAAATAAAAATGATGAAAGAGACCGCTTGCCGATTTCGGTGTGAGAGCTCAGTTAAGTTGAAGTATCACTTCGATTAAAAATCCAATGAAATGGTGGAAGAAGTGCTGATATGTGCTTCAGTTTAAGCCTGGCGAGCCGCATGAAGCTGAAGCACAAATGCTGAGACAAGCAGAAGCATCAGATCAGATTTAGCTAAACTTCAGCTGCTGACAGGAGATGAACATGCAGGTGTAAAAAACTAATCAGAGGTGTTGATCTTTGAAGTTAGAACTAAAAATATATGCAGTACACACATTTTTATCACCATAAAATGCCAGAAAATGTTCCAAGAAAATTCTACTTTTCCCTGGCAGGTAGGAAAACCAAACCCCTGGTATGGAAGAGAAGCTGCAGGAAGGGTTTGTGGTCACGGGAGTAGTGACTATGGAAAAAAATGATTTGAGTACATAAAGTAAAGACTGAGCTCTCTGGCAAAAAATGAGCAACATTAATTTAAAAGAGCACCATGCCTGCTGATAACCAGGTGGGTAGGAAATACTTTACTTTAGGGTTTTTGGCAGTCATTGGCACAGATAGCAGGAAGACGGGATATCTTTAAATGTCAGCAAATTCTGGATGAAAATGTCATGCACTCAAATAATGAAACAGATCCGAGGCATACCCGAAACACCATCACTGGCAGCTTTTATTATGAGGTGCTCAAATATCTGCACAAACGACAGTTAATGTTTACACTTTCCATGAAATAGAGATTTGAGGGGTTTTTGTATTTCCTTCTTCTTGTGTTAACCCCCCCAGCCACCAAAAACTAAAAAAAAAAAAAAAAAAAATCAAACAAAGATGGAATTTGCCCTTCTCCACAGCCTGGGAGCTGGGTGTGTTATTGGATCT